AGAGTTCTATCTGTAAAAATAGAACCCCATCTCACAGGGTGGCTGTGAAGGTTCATTGAGATGACAGAATGTGGCATCTGACGCCCCAAAGCCCTCGATACATGTTAAGGATTATCATCAAAGCACCCAGGCAGTTTTGGTGAACAGCTATGATTTTTGCTAAATTCCATCTTTTGGGATGAGTTTTGCTGTTGTCATAGGTCCAAAATAACAGCAACTTAAAGAAGATAGAAGTTTATTCCTCTCTCATCCAACAGTCCACGTATAGGCAGCCCAAAGCTGGTATGGCATATCCATGGTCTTGGTCTCTGAAAGGATATCATTCTGGGGAGCAGGCGAGGGGACATCTCCCAGGCCAGAGAAGGACAGCCCATCAGGACAGGAGAAAGAAAACTTCCAGTGTCCCTTATGGTTCTAGAAAGCCAGATGCAGCCCAGAGCTCCTTTTCTTTTTAAAATAGATCAGGAATGTCTTAAGCTATTCTCCTTACAAAAAAAAAGTAATTCAATGCAGGTAAGGCTTAAGTCATATTTGATGGCCTCCTCATCTATCTGGCAGATTTTTATTTTTTTTTAGTATGTAAGTACAGTTAATCCTCTTTATTTGCCAATTCCGTATTTGCAAGCTTGCCTGCTTGTTAAAATTTATCTGTAATCCCAAAATCAATGTTCCGGGCGCTTTTGTGATCATTTATGGACATGCGCAGAGCGTGTTGGTTTCTAAAGCTCTGAACAGCCCGACATACATGTTCCCAGCTGAGCTGAAACAAGGCAACGCTCTGCCCTCTTCCTTCAGCTGATGGTGTAAATGCACGGCCTCTGGGGGGGATCTATTTAGTGCCCTTTTTCCCTGCATTTTTGTTGGTGATCTTGCTGCTGAAATGGCCCCTGAATAGTGCTAAAGTGCTGTCTAGTGTTCCTGAGTACAAGAAGGCTGTGATGTGCCTTACGGAAAAAATATGTTAGATAAGCTTCGCTCAGGCATGCATTATGGTGCTGATGACCATGAATTCCATGGCAATGAATCAACACTGTATACGAAATAAGGTGTCCGTGACCGGACACACATGTAACCCAAGGCTGTGTATTGATCAGTTGATAACAATGTTGTGCCCAGAGGCTGCCAGGAGCCTAACCCTGGATCTCTCCTAAGAGCAGTGGTTCAGTGTTTGCTGAGTGTTCACAGCAACTTTCTAGAACATCATTCCTCCAAATAACAAGAACTGACTGTATACAAATACACATGTGTCACTATAGGAAAAAATGTGTGTGTGTGTGTGTGTGTGTGTGTGTGTGTGTCCACATGCACGGTAGGGAGGGGAGAATTCATTTTTACGTATAAAATATATAAAAGACACATCTTCCTTTCCAGGAAGGGAGTAGTTAGCACAATGGTTGGGGATGTGGTGTGGGGGCGGGGTGGGCAGCTGCAGGGAGGAGCAGGCAGCAGGCTTGGAGGCCAAGGGCATGCAGCAGTGCGGGGAACAGTGAGGTGAGAGGCTGGCATGGACAGTGCGGCTGGGAGAGAGGGTACACTGAGCAAATAAGTAAATACACTGAAGACAGTAGAAGCCGCGAAGAAGTCTAGGAAAATTAGATTGGAATTGGAGGCACTGGTACAAATTCACAGTTTTATAATACAGATACAGAAATAGAGATGTGTGATACATAATATGTCTATACAGTTGTGTGCATACACTCCCACATGTGTGCATGTATATGAACATACATATGAGGTGTGATTAAAAAAAATACAGTGAGGACTGGCTGGGTGACTCAGTTGGTTAGAGTGCAAGCTCTGAGCAACAGGGTCGCCGGTCCAATTCCCACATGGTCCAGTGAGCTGAGCCTGAGCTGAGCTGCTGCTGAGTTGCCAACAGGCAGCCAGATGGCTCAGGTGGTGAGAGTGCATGCTCTGAACAACAAGGTTGCCATTTCGACTCCCGCATAGGATGGTGGGCTGCGCCCCCTGCAACTAGCTTGAAAATGGCGACTGGACTTGGAGGTAAGCTGCACCCTCCACAACTAAGATTTTTTTTTTTTTTTTTTTTTGAGCCATCCTGCTACCTGTTGGCAGCTCAGCGGCAGCTCAGCTCAGGCTGGGAATCGAACTGGCAATCCTGTTGCTCAGAGCTTGCACTCTTGAGTGAGCCTCTTAACCAACTGAGCCACTCGGCCGGCCCTTATCCACAACTAAGATTGAAGGACAACAACTTGACTTGGAGCTGATGGGTCCTGGAAAAACACAACGTTCCCCTTCCCCAATTCCCCAATTAAAAAAAAAATCTAAAGAAAAAAATGCAGTGAATGTTTAAATTAAAAAAAAAATTATTATAGTAAAAGACACCTTGCCACTAATCTCCCTCAAAATACTCCCCCTTGCTTTGAACAAACTTACCCCATTGTTATTGCCACTTTCTGAAGCAGTTCTGGAAGTCTTCTTTTGTGAGTGTCTTTAGTTGCGCTGTCATGGCTGCCTTGATGTTCTGAATCATTTTGACTGTGGGGAAGAGTCAGAAGTCACACGGTGCCAGATCCGGTGAATAAGGTGGATGAGAACACACCGTAATGTTTTTACTTGACAGAAATTGCCGGATACTAGAAGAGATGTGTGACACAGAACATTGTCATTATGGAGGATGAAACTGTTTGCCCATTTCATGTTAATGCATTGTTCGTGAATGATTTATGGCACAGTTTAGGGCCGGCTGAGTGGCTCAGTTGGTTAAGAGCTCGCTCAAGAGTTTGAGCTCTGAGCAACAGTGGTTCGAG